ACTTTACAACGGGGTTAACCGGGCTGCTGGAGGCTGAGACCTCCAGCCTCGCTTGCTCAGCACCCTCCTCCAGACCCCCGGACCACCTCCCTCAGCCAAGGTTGGGGTGCAGGGGCTGGAGCTCAGGCCCAGAGCTGCCAAACCACAAACACATCTGGAAAAAATTCCCTTCCCAGCCTGACTTCCCTTTGTCTTCTGTCTTTTTGGGAAATTCTGGCCGGCTAGTCAGTGGGGGGAATGAGGAAGTAAAGGGAGGGGAGTGGGCCCAGGCCTCCCTGCCCCCCACCCCAGGGAGCTCCCGTCCAGCCTCCCCAGTGTCCTCGGCCAGACCATGTCCCCCCTTCATGCTATTGTAGGTCTAGGCACCCTCATCCTGGGGATCATCTTCTGGGCGAGGCTTTAACATCCTCAGTCACCAGGCTAGTGGGGGCGTGGGCCGCCGGGGCCCTTCTCTTTGCAGCAGGCTGGCTATGGAGCAGGGCACTGGACTGTTCTGGCTGGGGCTCAAGGGGGCTGGAGAGGAGTGGAGATGGACACAGTGATTTGGGTGGAGGAGGTAGGGGGCAGTGAGGGGGAGGGGGGCGGTGGGAGTCTGGTTTCAGCCATGTTCCCTCCCTTTGGCTGGGAGCCCGATTTCACTGTCAGAACCTAATCCCTCTCCCTTTACCTACAGCACTGCTGGAGCCGCGGTGGGGGAGGAGCACAGGCAGAGCCTGCAACTCCGGGGGAACATCCCCCAGGGACACCCCTTCTTGCTACCACCTCTGCTTTTGTCTGTCCTTCCTCAGAGATCTCTACTTGCTGCCCTCTGCCTTCCAGAAGCCCAGCCCAGCCCGCCCCCCGCACCCCAAGATAAGCTCCTCCGCATAAAACCGAGACCCCCAAACCAGGCTGAACCTCCAGCTCCCTTCTTTAAACCTGACAAGTGTATTCGTGACCGCTGCGCGAGGCCCCATCCAAAAGTCCTTTCTACCGTCTACCCTCCATCTCGCTTGCTGCAGTCAACCTAGATGCCCTGTCCCCTGCATGTCCATTATTCAGAGTCCCCTCCTCAGGGCCCGGGGGCTCCACCCGCAGTGCGTCCTCCAGTCCCGGGTAAATCCTCCAGCCCGTGTCCTTTGGCTCTAGGCCTCTGGACTCCCCCCAGCGCAGGCCCCCAACCCTCGAGACCGGTCCAGGGCTCGGAATCTCAGAGCCTGTCCTCTGCTCCACCCACGGCCACGCTGGCAGGGAGAGACCGGGGCCGCGACCAGATGTGGGGTTTCTCGTCCCGCCTCGGAAGGAGCTGGGAGGCAGCCCAGGAAGGGTGGCGGGGGTGGGGACCGACGGGCCGCGGGGCCCCGTGCGCGGACTCGCCAAAGGCACCTGAGCTGCAGCGT